CCCCTGCCCCCCCCCCCCCCCCCCCCCGCCCCCGCCAAGAGTGAAAGCAGCACAGGCGACAGAGACCGGAAGCGGAAGTGAGAGAAGCCCCAGGCCCCCGGGGAAGGAAACCCCGGGTCTTCATTTACTTCCCAGGCACTTCTCCGCGTGCACTGTACCTTGTTCCCCTGGCCTTGCTCCCCTGCGTTTGTGCCTTTCGCTGAGAGGGCAGGTGGGCTCAATGACACCCACTTATTTCCCTCCACATTCGTTCCACTTTTTCCAGTCAGACGATCTCTTCCCCTTCCCTTCCTCACCACCGAACTTGAACGATTTCCGCGCCTGCTGAAATATCAAGATTGACTTGCTAGGTGAAAGACTTTTATATTTAGTTTTTAATAGAGCAAAAGTGACTCTAAATTTGTTAATATTCTTTAGGTTACATAGGACAAATTACAGATAAGTGAATCAGTAATGAAATTTGTAATGAGAATTTCTCAAGTATGAAATGTTGGCGCAAGGAAAGTTAATTGCGGGGTTTTACAGCCATTATAGTTTATATCATAAATGCAAAAATGACTAGGGCCATTTAATTACAGTAGGAACACACTAAATTTTTATGGAGTGCCATTTTGTTAAAGAGGTACTCGGAGCATTAAGAGCAAATACCATCCTAACAGTGGGTCCAGGTAGCTTTTGCAACATCAAATAAATATGCTATTGCTACAAAATTGTTCCTTAGATACTATAATTGACATGATGACTAATGAGATGGGTTTATTCTCACAGCTTCACATACTCAATTTACAGTGTCTGAAAGTTATTTTTTCTGCCATCCGTAGACCTGGAAGGAACCAGAAAAATCCCTCTTGGAAAACACTATCTCTGCTGCTTCTCTAATTAACCTTCAAAAATGCATTTTAAAATATAGAAGTTGGTGCCTGGCATGGAAATTGGATTGTCTCAGGAAAAAAAGACCCAAGTGCTAATTTGTTCCTTATTAAATATCTGCCATGTCAAAATTACAGATAGTTAATGTTTTGGCGCCTTTCAGCACGGCCAGGGACAGCTTTTCCTGAGGACCAGGCACGGTGGGGTGGTTCTGGGTACCAGTTACCCCAGAAACCAATGTTGTTCTCACTGACCCCACCCAAACTCAAGACTCCCCTCCACTCTGCCCCAACACCGCAATTCATCCAGGTCCCAGTGGGGGTCAGATCCTCTGGTCTCTTATGGAAAGAGGGAGTATACTGGGACAGACATAGAATCCTCATTAGAATCCATCATTGTGGTGGATGCGTTCCCCGCTCACCTTCTCATTCCAGGCCTCAGGAGCTTCCAGAAGACAAAAGAACATTTCACGGGGAAAAGAGCTAAATTAATGCTGGACCCCTAAAAATGTTTCAGATTGTTTTAGAAAACTAGAATGGTAGTACTCCCATTAACATGAAAACCTAGGACAGTTTAATCTCTCTCTATTATCCAGTCAAGTACCAGGGAGGATATTCTTCTAGCCAGTATTCTTTTTCCAAAAGCAAATGAAAGATATGTGTGATCTGCTATGTTTAATCAGGGGAGCCAAAATTCAAGGACTGTTGGTTTGTAAAACCTTCATTCGAGAGCCTGCTGCACCATGCAGGAACCATGATACTTTGAGCCCCGGGGTCCTCATCCGAAAAACAAGAAAGTAATGATAATACCAATTTTCCAGGGATATTGTAAGAATCTGATAATTCTGTGAAGAAGCTTTCTCTGAAAGCTCTGATTCTTTTTATCAGAGAGTGGTGTGTAGATACCCAGAAAGCTGTGTCGTAGGTGTGTTCGTTGCTCCTGGGGTGGTAATGCTTAGGCCCTCATCTCTC